ATTGCCATCAACAACATTCCCAACACTGTTTCCTTGGACATCTTATTGTTGGAACAAGAAATAAAGCTCGGTTGCGGCTCAAAATAAAACGGAGCTTCTAGACAAAATTGTGTTTACAAGCTACAAGTAGGGCTTGCTCCAATATCTCTCCTTTACATTATCGCCATAGATCCAACAATACAGCACAGAATCAATGGTACAAAATCAGTGTATGCCCGTGCCAAATCTCCGGCCATTGTTGGGCTTGCGATGGGGGCATCATCGTCTGGGTTGACAGATGAGCGGTTGCTTGGTTGGATTGACGGCCTTCCTGAAGGCAATGTCAATGGCTCTGAAAAAATTGTAGGGCTTGATGCAGTGGGGGCATCCTCGTCAAATTCCACAATCAGCACTCCTGGTTTTTCTGGTGAATACAACAAAGTCACAATATTGCCCCCTCCAGTTCTGTACCCAATGCTTGTTGTTGAATATACTGTGGCAATTCGATAATTGCGCGATCGGATACAATCAGCTGTTCCAAAAAGTCTAAGAATCCGAGATCCGCCGGCGCTGTTGAACAGTCTGGAAAGGTTGTCTTGATCGTGATCAACAATGTTCTGGCAACTTCTTCAAGATGACGCCGACCATGTCCCGCTTGAGAACAAGTGACGGTTGAAGTAGCTCCCGTTCCATAGGCATCTTGAATGCTTTGCGAAATGAAGCCTCCAAACCCTGTGCAGATAACATTCAAATCGTTAAGACCACCAATTCCAATTCCTACCGAGATTGTAGCTGTCCGATCGATAGGAAATAAGGCAATTGTTGGTTGGTTGACTGGTGGAAGCGTTGGCCCAGGTGTTGGTGTGAGAGTTGGTCCAGATGTCATCGGCTGGACGGTTGGTCTCAAAGTTGGTTCAGGTGTGGGTGGAAGCGTTGGGCCAAACGTCGGCCTCGGAGATGGTTCAGGGGTTGGCAATACCGTCGGCTGAAACGTGCGTCCCGGAGATGGCCCAGGAGTCGGTGAAAGAGTCGGTCGTCCAGGTGTTGGCCCAACCACTGGCTGAAATGTTGGTCCTGGAGATGGCACAGAAGTAGGTGGAAGGGTCGGTCGAGGAGTTGGTCCAGGTGTTGGCCCAACCACTGGCTGAAATGTTGGTCCTGGAGATGGCACAGAAGTAGGTGGAAGGGTCGGTCGAGGAGTTGGTCCAGGTGTTGGCCCAACCACTGGCTGAAATGTTGGTCCCAGAGATGGCACAGGAGTAGGCACAAGAGTAGGTGGAAGGGTCGGCCCGGGATTTGGTCTGGAAGTCGGTACAGAGGTTGGTCCAAAGGTTGGACCTGGATTCGGATTCATAATCACTTGACTTGGAACTTCACTGGGTGCATCACTAGACAAGTCGACACTACCCTGACTAGGAACAGGACTGGGTTCATCACTCGACCGATCGATATCTTGTTGAATAGGAACATCACTGGGTGCATCACTCAACAGGTCCACATTGGTCTGACTCGGAACAGGGCTAGGTGCATCACTTGAGGCACTTGGAGCCGGGTTGCCACTTCCACTCGGATTAGAAGTTGGTTGTCTTGATGGAGTATATACCGGTGAACTTGAATACTGGCTTGGCACTACACTGCCACTGATCTCGATAGATGGCTTCTGTGACGGGGCCAAACTTGGTTCTTTTGAGGGACCCAAACTCGGTTGTCTTGATGGAGTAGGAACTTGAATGCTGGCTTGGCGCTGCACTGCCACTGATCTCGATAGATGGCTTCGGTGACGAGGCCAAACTTGGTTCTTTTGAGGGACCCAAACTTGGTTGTCTTGATGGAGTAGATGATGGTTGCATAGAAACTTGAATGCTGGCTTGGCGCTACACTGCTACTGGTCGTGGTGCCATAAGTTGTTCGATACTGACATGTTGGATCAGATTGAGTATACCAGTCGCAGCCATCTTCTGAATTGTCTTTGAAAGTAGGATCATCGACACAGTTCGGAGTTCCAAGGCATACACAACATGAGTCCCTTGCTGGATGCACCAGGAGCACAAATCATGTTAGATAGTATGAAAGTATGATAGAGCTGTGATTGAAATTGTGACAAGAAAAGTCTTGCTTGGGCCAAGACTCGGTGAACTTGATAGCATGTCACTTCCACTCGGATTAGATGATGGTTGTTTACTCTTGTTAGGTAAAAGGCTATGGCTTGGCATGACGCTTGCACTTGGATCGGATGATGGCTGAATACTGACAGAAGTAAAAATCTTTGTGGAAGGCCGGTCGCTGGGAACGGTACTTGGAACGGTACTTGGAGCTTTCCTTCGAAG